ATTACAGTCATTCTTTTTGATGTTCAAATTGTCCCAAATTTGGCTTATGAGAATCCCCTTCAGGGTTGCTCCTGTTCCTTTTGACAAGCCCCCATCTATTTGTCTTTGAACACTTTCCTGCATTATAATATAACAGGATGTTTCAAGCTCACTTTGTACTTTCCCTACCCTAAAATGGGAATCAGCAGTTTTTCCAAGGAGTCTTTGTTCCAAAAACAGAGAATATTTTTTTTTAATTTAATGATTCTTTTTTTTTTTTTTTTTAAAGATTTTATTTATTTTATTTTTTCCCCCCAAAGCCCCAGTGGATAGTTGTATGTCGCAGCTGCACATCCTTCTAGTTGCTGCATGTGGGACTCGGCCTCAGGATGAACGGAGAAGCGGTGCCTCGATGCGCACCCGGGACCCGAACCCGGGCCACCAGCATCACAGCGCGCGCACTTAACCACCAAGCCACAGGGCCGGCCCTAATTTAATGATTCTCCCTTTTCTCCTCTTATCGAGACCCCCCTTCATTTGGTTCTGTATTAGATCAAGATTACTAAGTACCACATCCAAGGATCCCAGATATCTGAGGCAAGGGTGGGGCAGAGTGTAGGGGTGGTCTCTGCTACACCATAGGAATTCTTCCAGCTTAAGACAGTCACTTTCTACTTTGGCAGCCTATTACTAGGCTATCCTGTCTTCTGGTCCTTCTCCCCCTCCGTCTGATTTCTTTCTCACCCACAGTTTTTATTCTTTTATCTCGCTATTCATTCTGCTTTGATCTTTAGTTTTATTTTTCTATGTAATGCATTTTGGAGTTAAGGCTTTAAGCTTTGCAGAATGACCGTTTCCAGCAGCCATTTCAGCTAATTAATTTGATGTTTAGGTTTTGATGTGATCTTGCTTAATATTAATTTATATTTATTTATCTTATGAAGATTTCTTTCTTTAATGAGGTGGTGATGACTGCTATTTCTATCATTTCTGAAGTGGTTGGGCAGACCACCAGTGTGTTAACACCAGTGTACTAACACCAGTGTGTTAGATTCACATCATGGTTTGGTATACACCTTACCTTAGGTTAGATTCTCTACAGTTGTTGAGTTCTTTTCTATCACTTGGCCAGGATTGAGTTAAATATGTCATCTTTCTCACTGTACTCCTTCTTTCAAATCAGTGAAGACGACATTTTACCCACATTTTCCTAACATAAATCTCTCTCTTCAGATGAAGGGTTGGAGTCTCATTGTGCTAGGGAAGAAGGAAAATTACTGTTTTGTGTGGACATATATTTTGGATTTTCCAGGAAAAGGGGGGCATTTCAAAATCTGATGAATCAAGATAGCTATAAAAAATGGATAAAGATAGGACTGCATATTTTTATATTCTGCCACATAGCATGTGGTTAAATGAATTTGCCTATGATTTGTCTTCAAATGCTGACATTTAACTCTTAGGCTGTATAATTGTGCTGGCTTTTTTGAGAGTAAAATTCACATTCTGCATCCATGCTAATATGTTCATCTACTATAAACATTACTGCCTATGGTCACAACTAGAATAAAAAATTATTTTTATATACATCATAGCTGACAGAGACTCTTGGGACCTCCACAAATCATTCTTGTCTTTTGGAGCTTGCTGACAAAAAGGATGGAAATGTAAAACTAGCCTGGTCTGATATAGATTGACTTTGAAAACATATTAGCTTATTTAGACCACTGTTCATTCTATAGTTGTTGTTGTTGTTTTTAAGATGCTGAGTATTCAATAAGCTCTTCTAATTAATGTATTCTTTAAGCTTAGTAACCTGTCTTTTCACTGTGAACCAGCTCCCCTTCTACAAGCCATCTCTGGCTCTTTTTTTTTGTTAAAGGTTAATAATGAGAATAATGAAGCAATTGGTTATTTATGCAGTCATGATTGGCAAAAGTTATTAGAATAGGAATCTGCCCAGAAGCAATGATTAGGTTATGAAAATGTTAAGGAATACTGAAACCAGTCACTATTTTTGACATTTAAAAAATATTATTCCCACCCTTAATCATGATGACCTGTTATAAAAGTTTTTATACAGAATAATCTCATTGGGCAGTCATTTTTATACCAACAGCATACATAATTAAATGTAAGGGGGAGATTCAGAAATGACCTGAAAGAAAAATGGGCTTGGGCAGGAAATTACCACAAGGAGAAATAAGAAACAGAATTCTCTCTTGGATAGAACTATTTTTCTCCCAGATACCTGATCTATACTTTTAGGTGTCCTTTCCAATTTAGTATCTTCACCTTGAGCACTTTGCAATTTTGAGGAGCTGTGGGAGAGGGTATTCCAGATTAGGTTGCTGTGTTATTCATACTAGATTCTAAAATATGTAGGGAGGTATATGGGCAGAAAATTTCCTGATGGTGGTTCTATTAATGAAACATTGACTTAACAGACATTATACAAAACCAAACAAACAAAACAAAAATCTAATTATAATCCCTTTATGTTTATTATTGTTAGTACTTTCTGTGTATAGTGGGGAGTAATTATTTTTACCAGAACAGTAACTCATGTACAAAAAAATTCACACTTTTTTTAATTGATGTGATAATAGTCTATAACATTGTGAAATTTCAGTTGTACGTTATTATTTGTCAGTCACCATATAAATGCCCCCCTTCGCTGCTTGTGCCCACCCTGCAACTCGCTTCCCCCTGGTAACCACCAAAACTGTTCTCTCTGTCCGTTTGTTAGTTTACCTTCCACATATGGGTGAAATTATACGGTGTTTGTCTTTCTCTGTCTGGCTTATTTCACTTAACGTAATACCCTCCAGGTCCATCGATGTTGTTGCAAATTGACTATTTTTTCTTTTAGTTATGGCTGAGTATTATTCCATTGTGTGTATATCTATCTATATGTATAGATAGATATACGCACACACCACATCTTCTTTATCCAGTCATCTGTCAATGGACATTTGGGTTGCTTCCATAAAATTCACACTTTTAAAGTATATGATTCAGTGGTTTTGAGTATATTCCCAAAGCTATGCAAACACAACCATCTAATTCCAGAGCAAGTTCATTACCTCCCCTGAGAAAACTCATACCCATTAGCAGTTGCTTTCTATTCCCTCCCCCAGCTCCTGGCAACCACTAATATACTTTCTGTCTATTCTGGACATTTCTTTTTTTTCCTTCAGCTTTTCTCATATAATAGGTACTTCAAAAAATTGGAAAAGAGGCCAGAAAGTAGACATGGATGAATGTAACTCTTAGTGCTGATGTGGTATCCTTAGAACTGAGTATTCATTCCCCTGGCTCATTGGAAGAAGTATTTAAAAAAACAAAACAAAGAACCAACAACAACTTCATATAAACGAAGTCATACGATATGTGGCCTTTTGTGTCTGGCTTGTTTAGCACAGTGTATTCAAGGTTCATCCATATTGTAACATGTAGCGATATTTTGTTTGTTTTTGTGGCTGAATAATATTCTGTTGTATATTTATTTATTTATTTTTTCCCCCCAAAGCCCCGGTAGATAGTTGTATGTCATAGCTGCACATCCTTCTAGTTGCTGCATGTGGGACGCGGCCTCAGCATGGCCAAAGAAGCGGTGCGTCGGTGCGCGCCCGGGATCCGAACCCGGGCCGCCAGCAGCAGAGCGCGCGCACTTAACCGCCAAGCCACGGGGCCGGCCCTATTCTGTTGTATAGATGTGCCACATTTTGTTTATCCATTTATCACTTGGCGGACATTTGGGTGTTTTCACTTTTTCACTAGCATGAATAATGCTGCTGTGAATATGCATGTACAAGTTTTTATGTGGACATGTATTTTCAGTTCTCTTGGGTGTATGCCTAGGAGTGGAATTGCTGGGTCATATGGTAACTCTAAGTCACTGTAAAATTGTTTTGCAAAGTAGCATCACCATTTTACATTCCCATCAGCTACGTAGGAGGGTTCTAATTTCGCCACATCCTTGTTTATGTTTGTTATAGTCAGTCTTTTTTTTTTTTTTTTTTTGGTGAGGAAGATTAGCCCTGAGCTAACATCCATTGCCAATCCTCCTCTTTTTGCTGATGTCCATGCCCGTCTTCCTCCATTTTATATGTGGGACGCCTGCCACAGCATGGCTTGATAAGCGGTGCTTATCAAGATCTGCGTCCAGGAGCCAAACCTGCAAACCCTGGGCCACCGAGGCAGAGCATGCAAACTTAACCACCATGCCACTGGGCCGGCCCTAGTCAGTCTTTTTGATGATGGCCATTGTAGTAGATACAAAGTGGTACCTCGTTGTGCTTTTGATTTGCATTTCCCTGATGGCTGATGATGTTGGGCATCTTTTCTTATGCTGCTTGGCCATGTGTATATTTTCTTTGGGGAAATGTCTATTCAAGTCCTTGGCCCATTCTTAATTAGATCAATAGTTTTTTATTGTTGAGTCATATAAGGTCTTTATATATTCTGGATACCAGTCTCTTATCATATATAGGATTTGCAAATATTTTCTCTCATTCTGGAGGTTCTTTTCAATTTCTTTATAGCATCCTTTGAAACAAAGTTTTTAATTTTGAAGTCCAATTTATTTATTTATTCTTTGGTTGCTGTGCTTTTGGATGACCATTGCCTAATCCAAGTTCACAAAGATTGACTTTTGTGAGTTTTGTAGTTTTAGCTTCATTTTCAGTTACTGTTTGTATATGGTGTGAGGTAGGGGTCCAACTTCCATTCTTTTGCATGTGTCTCTATTTGTTTTTATTTATTCAAATTTAAAGATTTGAGAGAGAAATTTCTCTTCCAATGGGATGACCATTGCCACTCTCTTTTTGCATTATTGTTTCGTGATTTTGGGGGGGTGTATACGTACTGTGTTCATCTGAAGACTACACTTACCTGCACTTGCACCAAATATGGTTGCACTTCTGTCTCTATTTTGTTTATTGGAATCTGAAAAACAGCACTGATGGATACAGTTTGAATCCATTTATTAGTTTTTTTCCCTTAATTTACCATCTCACCTCTTCAGCTACAGTATAGAGAATGCCAAGAACTTCTAAGCCTCTATCAGAAATATCTATCAGAACAACAAGAGAAGCTCACCATGTCTCTCTCAGAACTTGGTGCTGCTAGAATGCAGGAACAACAGGTAAGCATCTTTATTCTTATCTTTTCTTTAATAGATCAGCAAAATGTCAGAAGAGTCATTTGCCTTTTACTTTGTCTCACAGTATATAATATTGTCTTAAAACATGCAAATGCAGCACATGATTGAATTAGTATCTTTTACTTCACTCTTTCCTTTTACTCTCCTGTTCCTGGGGCCCAGAGGTCAGGAATAATTACTTGAAGCACACTGTGGGTCAGTAGGGAATCTCCTGGTTGTATGAAAGCATAGCAGGAATGGTAAAGAAAACTCACTGCTCTCTTGTGTAATGAAGATCAGGTGGGCTGTTTGTTACTCATTGTCCTTAGGGAAGACACTAATAAGCCTTTCCTAACTCATGTTTACATTTTTAGAATAATAAAAGTGACTTGGTGACATGTAAAAGCTTTAATTTGAGAAAATCAGAATATTTTGCATGATTTTATGATTTTTATATATGTATTAATTACATAAAGATATATGAGAGTGTTTGTATATAAACATTTATATACATATCATCAAGTGGTATATATTATATAGCTACATGAATGTTCAGAACCCCATCAGTCATGATGTAAAACAAGCCCTAAAGACTGACTTCTTGCCCTCTAGCAAGTGATACTTGATGTCTTTTTCATATCCACATGAGTTTAAATCTTCAAATGGATGAAGACAAACCTTGTGTATTAAAACATTGTAGAAAAAACCTTATAGTAGGGTCAAAGTCATTCATATTAAGTATTAAATCATGAATAATGTACCAAAGTGTTATCTTCCCCCTTTGAGTAGTATCAGGTCCTGAATGGTTTTTTGCAAACCTTCCAAACAACATTATTGCTGTTCAACCTGGAGATACCTGTCTCAGATGGGTTTAGGAGTTTTGGCCAAGAAAACTCCAGTTTTGAACCTAAAGTTTGGACATAAGGAAAAGTAAAAAAAAAAAGAAAAGAAAAAATAGAATGTGGTATAGCTTAGAATTTTAACATATCCTTTTTTTTTTTAAATCACAACATTTATAAGAAATGGCCAAAGTATGAATGGTTTGTTTGTATTCTAATTTGCAATACTTTCTTCTGTTCTGTTTTCTGAAAACCTAGGCTATAAAATGAGGCAGAAAAGGTGGCAGCTAATCTTGATTGTTTGTCTGGATTTTCCTTGCCATGTTGAAAACAGAACAGGGAGTTTTTAAGGTAATCCTTGCCTATTGCTCTCTTGAGTGGGCTAGAGAAAATTGTAACATGAAGATCATATTTCTGACCTTTACTTTTGCATTTTCACTTCCTCCCTCTGCATGACATAGGTGTGTTAGAGGGCACAAAAATGAAGGGCAAGCTGTTTGGCAAGGGTATGGGAGGCAAGGCAGAAGGATCTTTCAATTGCCAGTGTAAAGAGTCTTATGACCTTAAGGATATAGACTGAAAGTCACGAAATAGTCACTAGGGGGGCTTTAAAGACATTAGGTAAGGAGATCTAACCCTTTTTCTATCTACTTCTGAAATTGAGGGAAAGTAAAACTTTCTTGGGTATTAGTGTTTTATGTTTAAGCAAGTGATTCTTGGAGGTTTCACTAGAGACCAGTCATAGTTAACACTCCCTCTCAACCTTAACCTTGAGGAGCAAAACTAATTAAAAAAAACTCACAAATACTAGAATGAAAATGTTGGCCAAGTCAATGGAGAGATTACTCTCAAAAAGAGACACTTCTGAATTTTTATTTTGACTTAATAGTGAGAAAATTTTAAAACCATGTTTTCAGGAAGTGCCTGGTGGTCCAGTATATTTCATATAATATGTATATACAATGAAAACGAAGTTGAGAGTTAAAGGCCACTTGTAGGCTCTGCCATTTGAACCTAGAGAAAGAAAAAGTTTCTTTTTGAATACCAAGTGGAGATTATCACCTCGTTTCCTGTGTTATCTGGTTTGTTGTGACAGGCTTCTCTTAGCTGAGCAAAGGTAAGCATGTTCTCTTCTTTCCTCATGGAAACTGGTAAATTTGGCTAACAAGTCTACTTCCTGTCAGGAAGGGCATCATTGTGAAGACTCTGAGAGCCTAAATGAGGATGCAGTGAGGTTAAATGTCCTCTTTATGTGCTCACAAATAGATTGTGCCCGTCTCTATTATAGCACCTTTCTTGTTCTTTTATAGTCATTGTTTATTCATCTATCTCCCTCATTAAACTTTTTTGAAAACAGTCATCCTGTTGCATTGGTCTTTGTATACTCAGAGCCTTACATAGGGTTTGGCTTAATAAATATTTAATTTTTATTTTTATTTAACAGATTTGTTTATATGATACATACTGTGTGCCAGGTACTGTTCTAAGTTCTTAACACATATTAAATCATTTAGTCCTCATAATAACTCTATGAGGTTATTATCCCCGTTTTACAGAGGAGGAATCCCAGACAGAGAATGAGTGACTTGCCCAGGTCATACAGCTAGGAAGTTGGCAAATCAAAATATGAACCCAACCAGTCTGGCTCCATAGTTTCTTGAAGAAAGACAAGAAGAACTTGAGATAGCTAAAAAATGTTGAAAATTAACTTTAGATGTCTTTGTTTCTATGACTAACCCTCCTTGGCTTTTGATCGGACATACAGGTTTTTGAACATCAGAGCACAAATATACTAGATATGGTGGAAAACTCTTTCTTTGTTTTTCCTATGAGTAGCCACAATGTCAGGTAAACATAAATCTTTGTTCTCAAAATAAGTTTTTTTAAAAAACTCTTCGCCAGATTTGGTGATGGAGATGTCAGCAGTTCATTTTCATGAGGCGTCCATTTGACTTTGAGAGGCTCATTCTGTCTCTTTGCATTGGTTGCCATCTGGCTTAAATTGCATATTATAAGTTTTGCTTATAGTTTTATTAAATCCACAGTTCTCCAGAAGAATGCCCTAGCTTATGATTTTCTTTTTTGACTTCTACCATTTCCTTGAAAAGAAATTGCTCCATTTACAAAAGTGAGTTTTTTTCTTGTTTTTCCCTCATCCTTTTTCTTGCTTTGCCTCAAAGATGGATGCATTCTACATTCATTTTGTAATTCATTCAGCATTACAGGTTCATCATTGTGGATTCTGGAAAAGTTCTTCACTTGTTCTATTTAGATTGAGATATTTCATTGATGTGTGCCTGTTACTCCATTTCCTTATCTTAAAAAACAGCACCTGCCCACAGTATGACCTTGGTCTTGGACATGAGGGGATCTAGTGACCATAGTTTTGACCAATGTACATTTTAGAATATAACTTTTCTTGTCACGGTTGACTGTTATTTTTTTGTGAATCTGAACTTAATCAAGGTCACCTCAAATTTATATGCTTATAACCTCTATTTTACTCTTATTTGATAGGCTGTACCATTTTAGAAATGTTACAGTATTTCCTCAGTACTTTTTATATTAAGAGAAATCTTAGGTGGCATTTTGAATAGCTTCTCCCACTATAGTTAGAAAATGTGGGTATGCAAGCCTACCTTGCTATTTTCTTTAACTCTTCATTTTCTTGGCAAGTAAGTATAAATAGGTAGATTTGGAATCTTCTTGAAATTTCTCCCTTTTTCATAAAATAGATAAAATCGTCATCACTTTTTAGCCATGGGCAATGGATATTAATGAATCTCTGATGTTCTGATCTGGCAAAAGGCCTTTTATAACAACTTTTCTGTTTTTCTCATGATGCCTTTGCCCCATGTTTCTTAATTCATGTCTGGGTCATGGACTGTACAGAATCTGAAATATACTAGAGATAAATCTTTGCTGAGCACCTGTTTAATGTTTCTTGATGGTTCTATTATTATTGTATCTATAGTTTTTTTAAAAGCATTTTTGTAATGCTTAGATCCATAGTGTCTTGGGACTAATTTTTATTCTGTGATTGTTTTCATGTATTCTTTTGGTTAAAATTTTTTTAACTACCACATATAGTCATGTGGTAATAGAGCTCCTTACCATTTTAATTCTATCTAATTTCATTTATACATTTTAATATGTATTTAATGTATAATATTTACTTTAATTTTGTTTAACACTAAGCTGTCTTTGAGTTTGTTATAAGAAGCCCAGATTTTATTGGTTAGGCCCACCTATATAATCTTGTTTTTACTATATAACATAATAGTCATGGGAGTAAAACCATTTCACCATGGGACAAAGGTCATGAGAATCAAGTTAAAATTCTATCTACTATACTGCAGCTTTAGAGTAAATTTTGAAATCAGAAAGAACAGTCTTCTACTTTGCTCTTCTTTCTCAGAATTGTTTTTGCTATTCTGATTCCTTTGCATTTCCATATAAATTTTAGGATCACCTTACCAATTTCTGCAAAAAAGAAATTATCAAAATCTGTTGGCAATATGAAAGAGATTGCAATGGATCTATGGATCGATTTGGGAAGAATTGCCATTTTAACTACATAAGTCTTGCAATCCATGAACATGGTGGAATGTGTTTCCATTTCTTTAGATCTTTAATTTCTCTTGGCAATGTTTTGTTTTTTTTCAGTGTACAAATCTTGCACTACTTTTATTAAATATATTCATTTTTGAATTGTTCATTGGTAGTAAACAGAAATAAAATTGATTTTTACATATTGGTCTTATATCCTGCATAAGAAGGATTCAGCTCACCATTGCTGGCATTGAGGATGGACAGGGCTAGGATCTGAGAATGGTCTTTGACCAACAGCAGGAAATTGGGGATTTAAGTCTTAAGACCACAAGGAGAACTGTATTTTGTCAACAACCTGAATGAGCTTGGAATCATATTCTTCCTCACATGTTCCAAGTTAGAGCCAGGCCAGCTGACACCTTGATTTCAGTCTTGTGAGACGACTAAGCAAAGAACCTGGCCAAACCTGCCTGAACTTCTAACCTACAGAACTGTGAGCTAATGAATTTGTGTTTTTTTAAACTGCTACGTTTATGGTAATTTGTTATGTAGAAATAGAAAACTAATACATACAATATTCAAGACATTGTAGTACTGCCATAATAATGGACA